TGGCTTATGACTCATGTGCCAACGAGTGCATTATTGTTCTCCCTATTCCCAGGGTTCCCCCCACTCACATCAAAGATCTCAAAGCCGGCGATGTCCAGGACTCCAATGAAGTACTGGCGCGGCTGCTTGGTCTCCAGGGTGGCGTTGATCCGTACCACCATCCAGTTGAACATCTTCTCGTACACTGACTTGGCCAGTGCCCCAATGGAGTAGTACACCTGCTGCACGCTCTGCCCTTTGGTGACATACTCATTGCCCACTTTCACCCGAGGGTGGCACAGCCCCTTGAGCAGGTCGGCTGAGTTCAGCCCCATGAGGTAGGCGGACTTGTCGGCATCTGGTGGAAAAGAAAAGGAGTAAGCAAGCGCTTTCAACAGATCCTCTTGCCCTGGCCCAGGGCCAAAGTCTTTCTGAAGCATTAGGTCCAACTCCAGTATGTGCCTGAGTCAGCCTGAAGCCCAGGCCCCTCCATTCACCCAGGGCCTACCACAATGCCTCCATCTTTATGTCTCTGGTCCAGGCCCTTCACTAGCACTGCGTTAGCATGTCCCCAAGCTCACTGCACCTCCTCATCTCTCCAGGGCAGGAATGAGAGATGTGCTTTGCTCCCTGCCTCCTTTGTTCCCATCCCAGGATTGGCCCGGCATTGGGCATGCTCTACTTAATCCAATGTTGACCAACTTGACTGACTGGCAAATCAAGTTCCTAACAGCATGTTGAACAACTCCCCCCCACCCCAACTCCCAGCTCTCTAAATGTCCATCCAACACATCACCTCTATTTAGAGGGAATCTGTTTGGTTTAATTTCAAGCATTTTGTGATAACTGGTGACATGGCGATCATGGCACCCAGGCTTGGCATTTTGATCTGGACAGACACAGAGAAGGGGTCCTCAAAGGTAGGGCAAGAGGAATGTTCTCAGGTGTCTGTCTATCACTGTTCACACCTTCATACTTCCTTCTCAAAGAATTCTTGCAACATCCCCGGAGGGAGCTGGAAAGGACTGCCCTCCATTTCACTGAGGAAGAAACTGAGGCCCAGAGAGGTGGGTGACACATCAATGCCCTGGGCTCTGTCTGAACTCCTGGCCTGTGCCTCCTAACCAACATGGCACAGAACCTGTAAAGGGCTCACCTAAGAGGGTGGGCACCCCCACATGCATACTGCATCAATGATGGGGATCTGCAGAGCTCAGGGGCTATGTTTTCCTGGCCTCTGGTGAGATGTAAGCACAGGAGGAAAAATCCCTGATTTATTTCTAGTTGGTACTGCTGGGGTTAAGAGGATGGGGTGGGGAGGGGGCTCCCTGTCTTCCCATCTTTCCCATGTCCCTCTCCCTCCTCAGCCCTCACCACACCCATCTACACCACAACCCTAGGTCCTCTTTGGGAACAGTGAGTGGCCAGAGGCTTGGCTAGGCTCCACCAGAGGAGAAAGCCTGGAGGCAGGGCTGAATAGGGAGGAGTGGGGGCAGAGCCTGCCCCTTGGAAAAGGCTCTCCCTCTGGCTACCTGTTTGTCAGACTTCTGGTTTCCTCCCACTTTCTCTATTGTTGTCAAGCTAGCTCCTTAAGAATTGTTAAAAGGTACCACTTTTGGACTCAGTGTGGGAAGCCCTGCTCTCAGAAGACTGGCTCCTCTTGACGGGTGACACCCAGCTCCTCAGGCCTTTCCAGTGCCAACCCTCCTGCCCTCGAACCTTCGGTGCCATCAGGCTCTGCCTGCTCCTCCCGCTGCTTCTGCTTGAACTTCATGTTTCCGTAGTGCATGATGGCTCCGGTCAGCTTGTAGACACCGGATTTCTCCTCAGCAGTGAAGCCCAGCACGTCAAAGGCGCTCTGAACAGACCAAGAGAGGCAAAAGGGTGGTTGGAGTGGGCGGTTCAGGAGCCCTCTGGAGCCCTCACACCACCTCCTCACTCACATCTGTGGCCAGGAGCTCCTCAGAGTCATCAATGGAAGCCACAGACACCTCTCCCTGAGACACGAAGGCGTAGTCATAGGGGTTGTTGGTGACCAGCAGCATGTCTGTCCAGGCAAGGGGCAGGGCAGGAAGATGTGGGAGAATGGAAGAGAGGCCCGAGAGCAGTTATCAAGGACCATGGAGAGACTTCAAAAGAAATGAAAAATAGGTGGGGGTGAAGGGGACATAGGAAGGGAGGACAGTGGGGAAATGACACTTATAAGGAGAGGAAAATGAAGAGGAGAATGAGAAAGCCAACAAGGAGTAGGAGAAAATTTGACAAGGAAGGTGGAAAAGGAGGCAAGAGGAGATGCAGGCAGACCCAAAGAAGGGCAGAAAGAGAAAGTCACTGAGCAGATGGAAGGAGAAGGGAGGTGAGTGGGGTGGCAGGCAGGGTGAGGAGATGGAGGGCACCTGCCCTGCTTGGGGAGGACAGTGGGGCAGCAGGGGCATGGGGCCAGGCTCACCCATCAACTCTGGCTTCTTGTTGGACAGGATCTGGTAGAAGATGTGGTAGTTCCTCTCAGACTTGAGCTGGCAGATCACTCGGGACTTCTCTAGGAGATCTGAAGTGGGGAGAGGAGAGGGAGGTGGGTAAGGAAGGGGAGAGTCAATCAGCAACAGGGTGGAGATCAGGTTTCTACAGTAAGATGAAGTGGGTCAGGAGAAAGCCACAGTTTGAGGAACAAAGGACTAAACTAAAGACAAGAGGCAGATGTAGACAAAGACAGAAGATGGAGGGGAAATGATGAAACAGGGCCACCCGCAGGGGAAAAAGGCAGAGGAGGATCGGGAGAGGTGGGCAGGGCTGCCTGCATACTCACAAGTCTCTATGTCTGCAGAAGCCAGCTTTCCAGTGGCTCCAAAGTGGATCCTGATGAATTTCCCCTGGGGGCAGATGGGACAAAGAGTGAGGGACTGGCCAGAGGAGACGGAATGGAGATCTTGGACCTCCATTACTTACTAACGTGTAGTAATCTTTTCAGTGACTATTACAACCTCTTTCAATGATGAAGGGACTAGGGTTCAGACAGGTGTGGAACTTGCTGGGCAAGTGTAAAGCTGGAGGATTGGCTCCAATGTCTATGTCCTTTTCCACTCTAATGTGGAAAAGCTCTGGAAACAGAAATAAGGGAAATGTAGAATGTGACCAAATCTACTCCATTTCTGGGCTATGGAACAGCTGTGGTGACTCCAGGTCTCTTTTTTTGAGTTCCCAGAACCCAGGGACCCAGGCTAAATCATTAAGGTTAAGAGAGAGAGAGAGAGAGAGAGAGAGATAGAGAGAGAGAGAGAGACACACACACACACACACACCCACACACACACACACACACACACACACAGAACCCACTTATTGATATCCCAAAGTCAAACAAAGGACAATCAACTGCGTGTGGTTAGTGTTGGTAAAACAGCACCCCCATTTTTAATCCTCACCCGAGGATAAGTTTCCATTGATTTTTAGAAAAAGAGGGAGGAAGAGAGAGTGAGAGAGAGAGAGAGAAACATCAATTGGTTGCCTCCTGTATACCACCCAACCAGGGATTGAACCTGAAACTTAGGTATGTAACCTGACCTGGAATCGAACCTGTGACCTTTTTGATGTATGGGATGACACTCCAACTAACTGAGCCACCCGGCCAGGGCTAGCAGCCCCTTTTCTGTCAAGGCCAGATGAGGCAGTGGTCAAGGGCACTCACGAATCGGGAGGAGTTGTCATTCCGTACGGTCTTGGCGTTGCCGAAGGCCTCCAGGGCAGGGTTGGCCTGGATGATCTGGTCTTCCAGTGTGCCCTGCAGAGGAAGCAGAACTTGGGAGTTCACCTTCTGTTCACCTTTAGGTGCTGGTGTAGAGGGCAGGGGGCTGCTCTGGTCCTGGTGAATGGAGCTGGGGCTGGGTGCAGTGCTGGGGAATCTGCAGCTCCAAAGGGCCATATCTGTACCCAGAGTGTGTGTCTTTTGCCGGGAAAATCTTGAGCACTTCCACCAGTGCTCCCCAGAGCAAGGCTCAGGGTCACCAGGGTCAGCCTGCCCAGACCCCTTCTACCAAGCCTGTGGTTCATCCGTACCTTGTTTGCATTGGCACTGTCCTTCTTGCCACGGTCACTTATGGCTGCAATGCTGGCAAAATACTGGATGACACGTTTCGTGTTCACAGTCTTCCCTGCCCCGGATTCTCCACTGGAAGCAACAGGGACCCATCAGAACCTAGGAGTCTCACTGTTCTCCGTTTGGATCTTAGCACTGCCCTCTCCTCCCTCAGAGTCCTGGCCATCTGACCTTCAACACCGGGAGAATTTGTCCATCATCATTGGTCACTCTAGCACTTCTCTGAGAGCCCAGTACCCCATACTCCTTGCAATCACAACCTTAAACCATTCCTTAGGAATCAGCCTGGGTCCCCAAGCCCCTCTGTGTATGGATGGTGCTCACTCACGTGATGAGAACGGACTGGTTCTCCCGATCTGGAAGAGAAAAGAGGATAGGCAGTGGGGTCGGGGCTGAGGGCCTAGGTCCATGACTGAGGGGGCACAGGGCAGGGCCATAGAGCTTACCTGTCAGCATGTACTGATAGGCGTTGTCTGAGATGGAGAAGATGTGGGGCGGTGCCTCACTCCTCTTCTTGCCCCGGTAGGCAGCCACAACCTCCGCATTGTACACCGGCAGCCACTTGTAGGGGTTGACGGTGACACAGAAGAGACCTGAGTAGGTCTAGAGCAGGAGACAGACAGGCATGAGAGGCTGCAAGGGAGAACCCAGGATGGGCAGTGGTGGCAGGCGGGAGAGTCCCTGGTCACCCAGCTGGCACCTGTCTTCCTGCAGCTGACCAAGGGCAGGAAGGGAATGGGGGGGGCGCTGGGCCCCTTGGGAGAGGGTTGACCTTCTCCCCTTGGCTATGTTGCCCTGCCCTACTTTGCTCTTAGTCCAGGATGGGCTTCCTGCCATGTTCAGAATGCACTCACGTAGATCATCCAGGCCGCGTAGCGCTCCTTGAGGTTGAAGAGCACGGCGGGCTCGTGCAGGAAGGTCAGCATGGCCATGTCCTCGATCTTGTCGAACTTGGGCGGGTTCTGCTGCATCACCTGGTCCTCCTTCACTGTCACTGTCTAAGGAGGGAGCATGGGCAGCAGGACAGAATGAGTACACCTCCCAGTCTGTAGTCACCAGCCTCACCAACTGACCTCCCAGAACACCGGCCACAATCTGGCCTCTCTCACAGCTCTCCTCTGGCCAGTGCCCGGGCCCTACCCCAGAGCTTCTCAGAAAACTTGCCCACTCACTGTCTCTCCCACCCTAGAGACCATCCTAGAGTCCCTGTGTCTTGTCAGTACCCCAGACCTTGTGCCTATAACTATAACTATTCAGTCCCCATCTAGGGGCAAATCTGGAGAGGCTGCCACCTCTGCCGTCTGTACACACGCCTCATTGTGACTTCAAGGCAGTGCTTGAGGCAAACTTTCACCTCTACTGGAAAGACATCTCACCCAACTACCCTACCTCCACACTGGCCACTGTCACTGTGGTTTGATTGGCATTGGTGAGTTTGCCATGCTCTGATGTCATTAGATCCTGTGGGCAGGTATTCCAGCATTTGGTACAGTGGAGGAAACTGTGGCTTGAGTAATTACATGATGTGCTGGTAGGGTGGCTGGTTAGTGGCAGAGCTAGGGTAAGAATCAAAGCTCCCAGTGTGTTGTGGTCCATTATTTCACACCTCGATGGAACGCAACATTTAACCAGTGTGTCTGCAAGGCACATGGTTCTGAGCTGCTGCTGGTGACCAGTGGCAATTCTCAGGGCTGGTGTGAGGGACCAGGGACCCAGGGCTTCTGAGTGCCGGTCACCAGCCCCAGGACTGAGCATTCAGTTAAAGAGTTCCTGCTCTTTGTGTTCACCTGGGTCTGTGAGTTTGCTCTTGGTTTGGGTGAGGGGAATTTGGGAGAGTTTATGGAGGAAACTGAGGCACAGGGGAGAGGGATACAAGGGAACTTCGTTTGATGTGACTACACCCTCTATCAAGGAGACTCCTCTGAGGAGGAAAGCAACTGAGGTTTCCAGCATCCTCTCTGGCAATGCTGAGATGGTGCCTGGCTACACCTGGCTCGTCAAGGGGGCATGTCCTGCAACCCTGATGGCTTTGGTTCTTCTCCAGGACCCATCAGCTCCCATTGCAAGTGGCTTCACCCCTGCACCTCCGCCAAAACCTTTCTTCCCCTTCCCCTGGCCCCGTGCTTCACACACCTTGCCGTTCTCGGTCTCAGCAGTGACCTTGCCACCTTCCCTGGATATGATCTTGGCCTTGACAAACTCCTCCTTATCGTCAGGCACAAAGCACTCAGTGCGGATGTCAAAGGGCCGGGTCTGGGCCTCTAGACGCTCCTTATCTGACTTGCGGAGGTACTGGGCCGCTGCCCCATATTCCTCCATCTGGGCATCACCCATCTTGCTGCTTCTCTGTGGCTGAGACAGGAGGGCCCAGGCCTCAGTGAGTGGCACTGCCCTCTGTAGCCCCACTCCCTGCCCCACCTTCTCACCACCTGGGTCCTAACACTCTCCCCCAACCCTTCCTTGGAGAAGCACCTGGCTTGGGTCCAGCCCTCCCCAAGTTCTGTTTCCCTTGCCCTCTGAAGTGACACTGAAGAGGAATCCCTGTGAGGGTCTATAGGAGTGAAATTGGCTGGAGCTTGCTAAGGGGATGTGCTGAGCAGCTTGGAGGAGTGACAGTGAGCCCCTGGTCTAGCAACCTGACTCCCGGGAGAAAAGTGGGTGGTTCTCACCTGGTTATCACCTCACAAAGAATTCTGAAGAGTCTGGACCATGGTGGAGCCAAAGAAGTGCAGTTGGGCAGAGAGAACAGGCAACGAGGATGAAGAACCATGCAGGCAGGCCGACCAGGAGAAGTGAGCGTATGTGGAATCAGAGTTGAAAACAGAGAGAGGCAAGGAAATGAGAACACACAGCAAGAAGGAAGAGCAAAGGGGAGAGACAAAGAAGTATGACAAGGACTAAGCGGCAAAATAAAACCAGGCAAAGAGAGGGAGGTCATCAGAAGAGGGAGAGAGATGGAGACAGGGTGGGGAGGACATAGGCAGCAGGAGATGACGGATGCAGGAGAGAAGTGCAGATGGGAGAAGAAAAGAGGTTTCTAGAAGTGCAGATGGGAGAAGAAAAGAGGTTTCTGGTTCTTTTCAGTGGGACCTCCTCTCTGTGGTGGGAACGTCCCAGGGCTGGAGAAAGGCAGTGCTAGCCATACCTCAGGCCTCCCACCGACCTGCACCCATTCCCCAGGGAAGGCAGAGTCTCTCAGGTGGGAGCTCTGGAGGTGAGCCACAGAGCCCCCACCCAACCCCCTCTTACCTGGTTCACAGGAGTGTCTGTCTGTCCTCGCAGCTCTTTGCTCTTTTTATATCCCGCTGCCCCCACCCCCTTCCTAAATTTGGAGTCCTTCCGGAGGGACCCTCCCTCCCACCTCCCTCCTCTGCTGGCTCCTCCTCCCTTGATCCTTTGGCTCTGGAGGTGACAGAAGGACAACTGGGCCTCCAGATTTGCCCATGAAAGGTCTGCTACCCCAGCTCCTCTGGCTCCAGGGCCTTTTTTTAGTCCTTGGGCACATTCCTCCTCTCCAAAGGGCGGATGGGCAGATAGTGGGAAGACACGACCTTCTCACACCACCTCCCCCGCCCCACCAGGCCCTTACCTTGGTTATTTTTAACCTGAAGGGTGAGTTGAGCACACTGGGTGAGGGTCACCTTCTCTTGTAGCCCAGATGCTTGTCCCCTGCCTCCCAGCCACAGCTCCCCTCATCTTTCTCACCCTCTCACACCACCACAGGCTGAGGACGCCTCTCCCTCTGCCCTGGAGTCCTACAGAGCTAGGGCCTGGGAGCTGGAGCCAGGATGCCCAGGAGGGGGTCTACTGTTTGGCTCTATGACCTCTGTGCTGCCCTCTCAGCATGAAGGCTGTGTCCTATTTCCTTCTGTTCCCCAAGTTTTTATACAGGTGTCCTCCTGGGCACTTAAGGCTGTGCTGCCCTGAGGACACATCTGGAGCCCCCCGGCCCTCCTCTGATGCTCCTGATACAGTGCCCACTGTCTAGCCTCTCAAACAGAGGAAGGGGTTCCCTCATGCACCTCAGCAGATCTGTACGCAGACTCACCAATGACCTTACACGTGGACTTGACTACCACACCCATTCTTAGCCACACACATGCAGAATTTTCACACTTATTAACTGAAGCTTGCAAATTTTCTCACTTGCCGTTGTGCACACTGATACACACATTTGTACACCCACATTTGCACACATAAGCTCTTACTCTCCCACTACCACCCTCTGCTCCTGGTCCGGGGCAGTGAGGTGATGGGGAAAGTCAGGAGGCATTAATCCCTGGGGCCTGAGGGAAGAGAGGATAGGGTGGGGGGCTGCTCCCTTCTGCCTCTCTGGACTGCCAGAGAGTACAGGTGCTGCCCAGGCTGGCTGGGGCCTGGCAGGCCTGGGGATTTGCACCAGTTGGGCCCTCGGCTCTGCGTTGCCTGGAGTGGGGGTGGGGTAGAGCTCTACAGTCTGCCACCCCCTCCCAGGTAGAACTCTGGTGCCTCTCCCAACCCTCTTGAGGCTCATACTCACATGCCTCCCTTTGTGGTGTCCCCAAGTGACCCGGACCCTCAAGGTCCCCCTCCCCAACCTCCACAGAGGCTGCCCCTCAGAGGCAGGAGGTGTCAGGTCTTCCGCAGCCGTGCCTGTCATGACTAAGTGGACATTGTGTTCAGAAAACAAAGCCAGCCTCCCCTGCTCTGGCTTCCCCACACTCTCACACCCAGGAATATTCTCCCAGCCCCACCCCGGCCCATCTACTGTCACCTCTCAATATAGCTCAAGTGTGGAGGTGGGTAGGACACACAGGGGTCACCTTCTCCGGGTAGGACAGCTTTCCATTAAATATGTGGCTTCTCTCCCAAGGCCCCCAACTCTCTAGGACGCTCCACTGCCCCATTATCAGACTCGGGAATACACAGCTGTCTCCAGAGGACTTATATCCTATATCCAGTGTCCTGTAAGTCAACGCCACATGCCCATCTCCTGCAGGTGCATACGTCAAATCGTTACCCCCAGGGGATACAGGCCACCTGTCCCTCACTCTGGGTCACTTGAGGCTCCATTGTGCAAGCTGGGGGGGTTAGCCCTTGGCTCAGTGAGTCACTGCCTGGTTCCCATGTCCCTGGGGACATGATAAGGGGTTGAGAACAGCAGGTCAGGCTGGGTCAGGTCCAGGTGACAAAGACAAGGCTTTGTCCTCAGGAAACCCTGTGTTCTGAGCAGGCCAGACTCGATGTAGGTGGAGAAGGGGGTGAGGGGGGGGGG